GTTGAGGCAAGTTGGAGCTGAACTCTGCAGGACACCGGCCCTCCAGGACCGAGTTTGGACAGCCCTGCATTAGATGGAGAAAAGTCTTAGAATGTTTAACTCCAAAACCTTAATTTCTTTTCGGCTGAACAAAGAAAATAACATATATCTATACACTGGGGGTGAGTAAATAATCAGGACATTTTACTTTTGGGGTGAACTATTCCTTTAAAGACATTAAACCACATTTAAATTGTATATACAACACAAAGAAATACTCATGGAAAACTTACTCATGCCTGTGGAATTGGGTCATTTTTCCTATTACACACAAACACAAAAGGGACTATGAGTAAGCTTTTTGACAATGAGTTCTGACACAATAATGAAAGTAATAATAACTGAACTTGTGTTGTCCTAGATTTTATTTTCTAATCATAATTTAACATAATTTAAATGCAACATTCAATATCTTTAAATAAAGTGTTATTTATAGACAATTTTAGCTTTAGGACTGACCTTATGTAAAAAGGTCAGTAAAATGTAACATAAACAAGAAAAAAAAGGCAGTATAAAATTTTCTGTTATTCAGAACCAAAGAATACAGCTATGTGCTATTTTGCATGCATATTCATTCATTCATTCATTCAGCTATCTTAGCTCATGGCAGCTACTCTACACCCCTGGTCCTCTTCAATCACTTTTGACTGAAACATTTTATTTATTTATTTGTTTTACTTGTAACTTCATCAGAATGGCATGGACTTTTGTGGCACAGGTAATATGAACACACACAAAAAATAGACATGATTGGAAAAGGCTAAACTGTCTTTAAAAAAAAACAAAAAACAGTTGTTTGGTCTCTTCTGAGTATGATTTTGGCTGTGACCCATAAACAAAGAGCACCAGAGGACTACAGAAACTGATGATTCCATAAAGTCAGTGCATATGTCATATACTGTTGGTAATCTATTAACAGAGAATTTATAGTTTTTAAACATGCTGAAACATACTCCGCATACACACAACCAGCACAAATATAAAAGTCATTCAGCTATTTTTTTTAACTCCTCATCTAGTATTTCAGTCAATTTTACATCCTTTCAAAAGCATCATTATTGCAAGGTTTTAGCTATAACTTGTTTCAATATTTCCACAAACCTGATAATATAAAGACTGCAATTTAAGTAGCTCTTAGTGCTCACCTCAGTTTGACTCCTAATGAACTCCCAACGAGTGCAATAAACATATCAGTTTCAAATTAGCACCTTTTTAATTTTACTTAAAAAAAAAAATTGTGTTGCAATGTATTTACATAGATTCAGTACATTCGGTGCTGTTATATAATCAATTAATTAGATGTTACTATTTGAAGTATATATTAGTGTACAATTTTTTTTTTGTTATAATTAAGTCATTTATTGTAAATTGTTAACATATATCACATAGACACTTGTGCAATAAAGGTGATACTTCAAAATGTCTGTAAAGAAAGGAATAACGCAAAATATGTATGACTACCATGCCTAGCATATCTGATCAAATGCCTATTGATCAAATGATCCTAAATGCAATTGCCTTACCCTGTTCAAAAGTGAGAGCAATTTCGTCAAGTCAAAAGATCTGGTAATGCTGAATGGTGAAATTAATGCTTCAGTTTTTGTGCCTTGTAGTTCTACAAAAGATCCCACCCACAACCACTGTAGTGTAGCCACTCCCCTGCTCTTAGGCACCCAAATTGACAGCAATGTCTCCTATGGCCACATGGGGACAGACTTTCTGGGGAAAGACTGGGGAAAGACATTTTATGAACCAAGCAGAACTCTTTTGCTTTAAACTTTTATGGGCAAAATTAAATTAGGCGTACAGTAAATTATGGCTTCACTATTCAGATGGTCACATTTTTCTGATTTTCTATTTGATTTTAGACAGTTTGGTTAAAAAGAACTTCATTAAAACTAAATATTAAATGCAAATACATCTAATACAAAATATTTTCTTTTCCAAAAACTATAGTAACTTGGTCACACTTTACAAATTCAAATGTTACCGCTTCAAACGACAGGTTTTACGGCAGGATAATCGAACGCTCATTGGCTCTCGCCTGCATTCATCACAGATTGCGACATGCCGTGTTTCTGGTGAGGTGTGTTTGAATGATGCACGCGCCTTCACGAGTTCTCGGAGTGGATCGGGAAAATAATCTGCATAATATATTTTCAGCGATTAACAACTTAAATTCTGCTCTGCACCTCACACAAACCTACTGTATTCCGCCAGAGAGGACTGCGGTTGCAACGCATCGTCATTTGGGTTACTTTTGGTACTGCTTTTGACATTTTTGCAATAAATAAATTATTGTAATTGCATTGTCATGTTTTTCTTATACTGTACAGAAATGTTTAGGTTTATAGGTAGGAGTGGGATTAGCGACTATAAAAATATTTTAATGCTATATTGTAACTAAAATGGTTATTTTCCTGCATATTTCGGTCAATTGCGATTTATATCCTTTTATATTCGCTATAAAATGGGTAGGTTAAGGTTTGGGGGTAGATTAAGGGGTGAAATGTTTAGGTTTATAGGTAGGAGTGGAATTAGCGACTATAAAAATATTTTAATGCTATATTGTTACTAAAATTGTTATTTTCCTGCGTATTTCGGTCATTTGCGTTTTATATCCTTTCATATTAGCTATAAAATGGGTAGGTGTAGGTTTGGGGGTAGGTTAAGGGGTCCTAAAATCTAAATCGCTTATTGATAAAATGATAAAAATGCATATTCGCTATAAAATGGGTAGGTTTATGTTTGGGGGGTATAGGTTACGGGGTCTAAAAATCTAATCGCTTATTGATAAAATGTTAAAAATGCATTGATATGAATATCTTCATGATACAAAAGATACGTAAATATTTTTACGTTTTTTAGCTAAAAATACATAGCGATTTGTACGTTTTAAATGTTGAAATATGTCTAAATTGTACATTTTAGCACCAATAAAAACGTACAAAAATGTAAGTTTTGTGCTTGTAAATATTACGTATTAATACCTACGTATAAACATGAGACCAGGCTGGGTTAGTTCACCCAAAAATGAAAATTCTGTCATTAATTACTCACTCTCATGTCGTTTCAAACCCGTAAGAACTTCATTCATCTTCGGAACACAAATTAAGATATTTTTGATGGAATCACATGGATACGCTGTTTTCATTCAGATCAAAACCCAACAACGTAGGAAACAGATCCGGCGTGACGCAGCTGACACAGAACAGCATACGCATACATTTCAGAGTTATATTAAACACGAATGACCATAGTTGAATTTCAAGCCCGCTTTGTCTCTAGTTTGCATTTGGTCTCATCGCTACTATATGGTTGTGTGCATCCCTGTTTGCTACGCTTCATTAAATGTGCTTTGAGATTGTTATAGCGCCTTGTTTTGCCCTCTTTCCCCACACATGCTGTGACAGAATACCGAAACTCACAAAAATGAAAGGCAGAAGACGCTAGGGCACCCGTGTTTGTCTTTCAGGGTGGCCGATATTTGGAGGACTACGTCGAGAAGTTCTTGGACACCTGCCATCTCGCCAGCTACAATTTTGTGATGGGCTGGACGACGACATTTGTGACGTCCTGCCCCGGGGAGATCCTTGCTGGACTTTAAAAAGCTACATCAACTTCACCCTATGGATGAAAGGATCCACGTTCATGATCAACGATGACAATGAGGACAACATCAGCGTCCAGCCCCACTGTGCAGACTTCTCGCAGCTTGACCCACAGCACAGCCAGTCATCATCCCCACGCAACACAGATCGAAAGCCTGGGCCTACCGCAGACACGGAGCTGGAGCTGATTGCATTTAAAGAGCCAGATAAGGAGACTGAGCAATTCAAAGCCACAGAGCCTGAGCCCGAGCCCGACATGAAGTCTGTGGGAATATTAGTGGAGTACGAGGGCATGGAGGATAGCACCGCCCACATTCCTGCAGCTGAGGGTGAGCTGCTGCTGTCATCTGCAGATTTGCTGGAACTATTTGATCCCCTCTTTCCGCTATGCTCTATTCCTTCTAGTCCTGTCTGTCTGTCTGTCTTCTTCTCTGACTTCGTCCAGCCCTTGCCTTCTGTCTTCACTGTTTCCATCCAGCCCCGAATCTTCTGTTCCCCAGCCGGTTCCATCCGGCACTGAATCTCCGGTCTCTCTGCTGGTTCCATCCGGCCCTAAATCTCCTGAGTCTCTGCTGGTTCCATCCAGCCCTAAACCTTTTTTGCCCTCTATGTTTCCCTCCAGCCCTGAAACTCCTAAATCCCACAGACTCCCACCCATCCTCCCTATCCCACCTCCACCTTCTAGTCCTTCTAGCCTAGACCTTCTATTGCCTGTCAATTCCCCTGCTCACACTCTGCCAGCTGCTCATCAACCTCAAATCCCGTCATCTCCACCATGGACTGTTATCGAACCTACTCCGCCAGTCTTCCTCGTCCCTTGGGCACCACTTTGGGCAAGCATCCATCTACCTCCACCTTCCATGCCAGCCAAACACTCAGCCTTTTCTCTGCTGCCACCTGTCATCCCCTCAGCTCACCCTCAGCCTACCACTACCTATGTGGGTTCGCTTCGGGTTTCCAGTCACCAGCTCCATGTAGGTGTGAGGATCCCCTGCCTCCACCTCTAGCCACTGGATCCCTGACTCCACCTCGGCCCTTCGACCCATCGGCTCCCCCTTGGCTCCTAGCTCCTTCATCTCCAATGTGGCCCATCATCCCACCAGCTCGACCGGGCTGCCTTGTCCCTCCACCTTGATAAGTTGTTGACCATCCGCCGCCTCAGGATTCCACTCCTCTGCCTTCACCTCATCCCTCCATCCCTCTGGCTCTGTATGGCTCCTCCTTCCCTCCAGCTCCACCTTCGTTCTCAGTCACTCCGGCTCAACTGTGGTCTTCCGGAGCCTGTTGCTCCTTGGCTCTCCGGATCCTCAGTGTTGCTCAGGGTCCGTGTCTGCTCGGCTTCGTCTGGGTCTCCATCGCCGGCGTTATCACAGGAGCTCGAATCCCTGGTTCCACCTCCTAGGCCTCCACCATGGTTCCTCCCTACAGTGACTCTGCCATGGGCCTTCATCCTGGCTAGGCACTGGTCGTCCGCTACTCGGCTCATCCTCCCTCAAGCCCTTCATCCACCCTCTGCGACTCCCAGCTGTTCCCAGTCTCCTTCCTCCTTCGGTGCTTGCTCCATTCTCCATCCTTTTGCCACTCCTGTTTTCTGTCCGCCCTACTCTTCTGCTATCCCTTCGCACATTCCTATTCATGGACTCTG